GGCCAAGGGTCACAGCTGGGACCAGTTCTGTGTGCAAGTCCCATGCTGACGGCGTGGGTGACACAATGTACCCGAGTCGAACCCTACACGCTATTGCAGTCATCTTTGTACAGGGTGTGTCTTGGGTGCTGTCGTTTGAAAACTCCTCATTTGCTCGCCCATGTTGTCCTGATAAGTGTGGCAACGTTGTATGTGAAATATTCCACTGCGTGGTGTTATTAGCACATCCCAACCCGATGCTGGCAGACAGGTCTGGCTCAAACAAGGGAATGTCTTCTCCGCTTGATTTGCATTTTAAGCAATACACAGAGTCATCAAGCAGGAAGGGGAGACAAAGGAAGATCAAACAGGTGAGAAAAAAGCAGCAGGGACCATCCTTCCACATCGACTTCGTGTCTCCTGGTGCCCAGCATGTGTGTGAGTGTGTGTGTGTGTGTGACACACACACCAGACCCATTGAGTCTCTGCACCTGAAGCAACAGAGGAAGCCTTCACTGGATTCTGGGAGAAGGGCTCTGGAGCGAGAGGGTCTGGTCAGTGAGATGCTGAGATGATGCGGTGAGAAACGTTGCTCGACTCTGATATTGTTTGTTAGGCACCAGTAGCATTTTAACTTGATTTTCTTGTGACCATTTCTGACTTTTACACCTCATGGCTCGTTCTCAGTGACAGTCTCGCTGCGAGTCGTTAATAAACTTGGTTTTTTGTTTAATCTAATCCAGTGCGTTTACACTGAAGTGTTTGGGAAACTCCATTGGGGGGGGGGGCAAGTTGTGTGCAGATTATTTCTATAAAAGAGACAACAGACTTAGTATAACTTGTCCAGGGGAGGGCTGGGCAGTACAGGACATACAGGTCTGGGGGAAATCGAAGACTGGGGGTGTGTTGGGGGTCACCCTGCAGTATAACCAAGGCTGGGGAGAGCCAGAGTGGAGCTGGCAGGCTGCAGTTACACACAGACACTCAGGGTGTGGCTTGCACACTGGAGGACTGTTTGTGAGCGGCCCAGGTGGGAGCTGCTTCAGCCAGACATCATAAGGCACCCAAGGGCAAGGGTGGCACAGCTGTTCCTTAGTCTAGTTGTACCCTGGTACGTCACAGGGGGTAGAAGGACGTTAGTCTGTCGTCACTGCCCAGTCGGGCAGGGGCCATCCTGTGGTTCTGTGTCTGTCCAGCGCCTGGCACAACAGGGGCCGGCCCGTGGTTCTGTCTGTCCCTAACCAAAAATTTTTTTGCTTGGGGCAGCAAAAAACCTAGAGCCAGCCCTGCCTCCATGAACGCCACGTCTCGCATGACTGCTTCCCAGGCAGCCCCCACCATGGCTGTGAGGGCCCACACACACACACTCAGCACAGCAGTATCCCCCACAGCGCAACCCCCCCACTGAGCCGTTTCATCTTCTCTCTGATTGCACGCTCCCGCGACAGAGCCCCGTTGGCCCTGTAATAACCTCGGGACATGTCCTTCGGCTGCCTTGCTGATCACAGCTTGGAACAGAGCCGATGGGGTTTTCCCCACTGGGGGACCACGCACCTGGTCAGTTTCCAAGCCCCCAGTTCAATACGTTAATGATCTGGAAAGGCGAGGGAGCAAAATGTGCAGCAGCTACCAAGTTATTGATGTGAGTCGACGCCTGTGAGGAACTTCAGGGAGACCTCAACACACTTGGTGAATGGGCACCAGGATGGCAAGGGAAGCTCAGTGTTGATCATTGCAAAGCACTGCCCCTCGGAGGGGAAAGTCAAACTCCGGCACACCCTGCTAACTGCATCCGGACCTGGCCAGCGCCGGGGGGAACTCAACGGAGACCTCTTCTCTGGGTGCAGCTGCGGGCACAGACACTAACTCGATGTCAGGGGAACGTAAGGAATATGGAAATATTCTCCTGTCTTAATATAAATCAGTGGGGTGGCCTGAGGAGGGTACTGTCTGCAGGCGGGCAGCGCATCTCCCATGGGATAGCGCAGAGCTAGAGGGGCCCAGAGAAGGGTGATGAGAATGATCAGGGGGCTGGAAAACCTCCCCGTGAAGAGAGATTGCCAAGACTAGAATGGCTCCCTTGGAAAGGTGAGTAAGAGGGGACATGCTGGAGATTAAAATCTGATCAAAGAAAATATCTTTCCACACACCCATATTACACTGTGGAACTCCCTGCCACAGGAAGTCATTGAGGCCATGAACACTGACTCCTCCCCTCCACCTCACAACATGTTCTAACTGCCAAGTGCTATTTGCTTTGTATTTATTTGGCCACAGAGAGGCTAGCATGGCTGTGAGTCTCAGCCCGTGTCTTGTATTGGGCACCTACCCAGCCATGTGCCATCCTGGGCCAGTGAGAGGTGTCCTTTGCTCAAGACCTAAGGCCTGGTCTACACCACACAGACTCTGATGAGACAGCTAGACTGTCAGCCTGTAGTGTAGACACTGAGTACACAGAGAGAAGGAGTTCTGTCAGCACAGCACCACCTCCTCTCCGACCCCCCTGGGCTAAGCCCCCCCAAGCATTCTTCTGCGGGCAGAGATGCGTCTCCCCTGCGGATTTGCCAGCACAGCTGTGTTGGCTGGAGTGACATAGCCATGCCAACCTGGCCTAAGTGGTGGTGCCCAAGGGCGCGCGCTGTGTACCTCCACCCTGCAGCTCGCTTTGTGCCCCCATCCTGTCTGGGGCTGTCCCTTTAAGGGCCAGCCAGCCCTGTTCAGTTATCAGTCCCAGCCCAGGTGGGGTCAAGCGCTGTCCCCAAGGGCTGAGCGCTGCAGGAGGGAGGCTGTCTGTGCGTGGCGTGGGCGGAAGGTGCAGAGTACAGGGCGTCCGGCCCCTCCAGCTGGCCAGGGGAACAGGCTTGTTACTCTGGGAGGTTTTTGTCTGAAGTATTAAACTGTGCCCCAAGGGAGGGGCCTGAAGGAGACTCGGGCGAGGCATTATTCCCGCCTGGGCTGGGGAGATTGGCCAGCAGCGGGCACCATGCCCTCTGTTCTGCCAACAATGCCAGCCTCTGCTTTCCCCAGGCGGCCCCCGGAGCTGCTCCTCTCCCCTCCCTCCCTTCCCTCCTGCAGGCCCATTTCTCCTTCCAGGCCCCCGAGCGGATGTCTACACTGCAACCCCCGCAGCAGCGAGTCTCAGAGCCCAGGGCAACTGACTCAGGTTCAGGGGCTAAAAATAGCCATGTAGACGCTCCTGCTCGGGCTGGAGCCCCGGCTCTGAAACCTGGCGAGGGGGAGGGTCTCGGAGCCCTGGCGTCAGCCTGAGCCTGAATGTCTACAGTGCTCTCTTTAGCCCCATGAACAGGGGTGAAAGTGGGCCAGTACAAGATGGAACGGCGTATCGGTAAGAAGTGGCCGCCGGTCCTGGGCCATACGCAGCCGACGTTACAGCCCTGCCGCGCTGCTGGGGCCAGGGCCAGGGCCAGGGCCAGGGCCATAGCCAAGCAGGGCAAAGGCCACAGGCCTTTCTGAGGCAGAGGAAGGTCAGATCAGCCCCTGTGATGGCTCGTCTTTAGGCTTCTGTTGATGCACCTAGTCTGCAGGGAGGCTTGGGCTGCTTTCAGGTTGTTGACGTGACACTGCAAGGTGCTGGCTCAGTTTCTTTTTGCTCTTTGGACCCAGTCAGGCCAGCGCTTTGAGATTCCTCGTGTCAATTATTGATACAAAAGCCCAGCTGGTGGCATGACCTCTTGTATAACTGAAGTCCCATAAATGGGGGGAGGGGTAGCTCAGTGGTTTGAGCATTGACCTGCTAAACCCAGGGTTGAGAGTTCAATCCTTGAGGGGGCCACTTAGGGATCTAGGGCAAAATCAGTACTTGGTCCTGCTAGTGAAGGCAGGGGGCTGGACTCGATGACCTTTCAAGGTCCCTTCCAGCTCTAGGAGATTGGATATCTCCATTAATTTATTTATTTAAATGCTGGGGAGGGAGCGGGAAACCGGCCCAGATACTGAGGCAGTGTCCCTGGCTTTTTGCTTCGCTGCAGCCGCAGCTGCCCAGCCGACGCACAGTGCTGCAGACACTAATGCACTCACCCACCAGGCCGATTCAGCGCCAACACACCGACAACAGCAGCAGCCCATTTGGCAGGCTGCAGCCTCCTCCACAGAGGCCATGGCTAGGCGCATCCCAGTTGTTTTGAGAAATGGCTAATTCTGTTGTTTGCTTCTGGGAAAACAAGCCATTCCCAAGGGCAAGGAGGTGGGCTTTCCGGTACCAGGGCGTCCTACAGCCCGCTTGTCCCTTCTGAGAATGCCACAGACCCCCACGCCAAGTGCCAGCAGCTCCACTGTCCGAGGGGGTTGAGCTTAACTGCTGCCCTGAGTGGTGCAAACAGAGACTGGCCCTGAGGCCTTGCAGAGAATCTGGCTTTGCCCAGGAAATCAGGCGATGCACCCAGTAGCTGGGGGGTAGCCGGGGCGGGGCTAGGGAAACCCAGGTGCAACCATAACCCTAACCCTAACCCAGCTCACTTAGCCCCCCTGTGCCCGGGTCCCCCTCTGCCCAGCGGGGCACTAGCCCTGCCCTCCCCGCGGGGGCCTGAGGACACCCACATCACAGCGGGAGGCGCAGACCTGGGGCCGGGGAGGGGGCGCCCAGCGCAGACAGAGTCAAGGACGAGGGTGAAGCTGGTGTAGAGGGGGCTGCGCCGCAACGGCTGGCCTGGCACTTGGGACCCAACTGGAGGGAGACCAGGGGGGTCCCAGGGAGACAGGGGGCTGCCCAGCTCTCTCCCCGCCCCCCAGGAACTAGCCCCGCCCCATCCCCCACCACGTGGCTCCCGTCTTGCGCTGGCCCTTTAAATGATGCAACCGGCAGCAATCCTGGCCCCGCCCCCTCCGGCTGCTTCGGTCCCCATTGGCTGGGTTGCCGGGGAGCCAGATCCTGCCGTGCTCCTCCATTGGCCATCAGGGCCGTCCTCGCCGCTGATTGGTGGCATCCTCCGCAGCGCCCGCCTCCTGCTCGCTGATTGGGCGGTGCGGGCCCCGCCCCCTATCCGGGCGGGGCAGGGGCAGCGGCAGCAGCATGGCGGCGGGGCCGGACGCGCTGAGCCTGTTCACGGCCATCGGCCTGAGCGAGCCCAAGGCTCGCGAGACCCTGAAGAACGAGGCGCTGAGCGCGCTGCTCCGGGAAGCGGTGACCCAGGTAACCCGTGACCTCTGACCCCTCCCGGCTCCGGAGCGCCCCCTGACCTCTGACCCTAGTGCAACCCTTCCCCTCTGGCCTGGCCCCCGCCCCAAGCTCCTCCCCGAGCTACGCCTGACCCCCGACCCCTATCCTGGCCCGGACCCCCGGGCCTCGCAACCCTTCCTCTAACCCCTCCCTGAACTGTGCCTGACCCCTGACCCCGGCCATGACCCCTGACCCACGGAAACCCTGACCTTTGCCCCCAGCGCGACCCTTCCCCTCTGCCTCTAACCGTCCTAAGCTCCTCCCCGAACCGTGCCTGACCTCTGACCCCTGTGCCTTCTGGCCATTGTGTCCTTCCTTTGGCCCTTGACCCCTGCCTTCTTCCCTCTGACCCCTGCATCCTCTGATCCTGCCCCTGTGCCTTTCCCCTTAACCGCTGACCCCGGCACTCTGTCCCTTGACCCCTGTCCTACACCCCTGGCCCCCACCATGACCCCTGCCCTTTGGCTTGAACACAGCCCTTCCCCCTCCTTGCCAGGCCCCCCTTTCTGCAGCCAGTTTCCTGCCCCTGCTGTACACCCTCTGTCTCCTCCTCTTACCCCCTGTTGCCTCAGCACCAGCAGCAACCCGCCCTCTGCAGGCAGGGGCTGGGCAGGAGAGAGCCCCACCCTGGTGTCTGCAGGCTCTGCACCCCCCGAAGTCCCTGGGAGCTGGGCCTGCTGACGCCAGGGCTGAGTTTGGCCCAGTATGAGCGTGGTTCATGGGAAGGGTCAGGGCCTGGGTGCGGGTTGCAGACCCAGGGTGGAATTGTTACCATCCGAGCGTAGAAGCAGAGAAGAGTTTTCCTCAAACTAACCGTGTTGGCAACTTCCTTGCATGCCTTCCCCTCCCGCTGCTCTAGCTCGCCCCAGGAGGAGGGCACAATAGCGTAGGTGGCACTTTTTGTGGCCCAGCCGTGCTCCTTTCTTGAAACATCCACAAACCCGTTATCTTTGACAACTGAGCCCGGCTCTGGGTGTGTGAAACCCAAGCCCTGCAGCGCTGGGAATGGGCAAGTGACTGCGTCGGCTTTTCATTGCCACGCAGGGAAACTGACTGGCAGACACAGAGCTGGATTTGTTTCATTTGTGTGTTAGCACTGTAAGACGTGGTCGGTGACCCGTTGTCAACGCAGCAGTTGTATCTGGATGTGCCCCTTTCAGGGAGGTTGCGTCAGTTTCGGTTCCCAGAATGCTTCTGTAACTGCCATGGCTGAATGCTGTAAGCTAGTGCTTCTCCCTAGTGTGTGACAGGACCCCTAGGTGTGGGGCTGGGTCTCGGGGAGGGAGAGGGTGGCCTTGCAGTGTTCAGAGGTTTGGTTTTACAATGGGATTCTTTGCAACAAACCGAAACCGAAACTAACTCCTACCATACAAATCAGATGCCATTTAAAACAGTACTTCCTGGATAGCTCTGTCTGGGAGTCCCTATGCTGCTGATAGCAGGGCTCGGGTAGGACATTTGTAATGGTCATGTGGCCTGTCCTGGTGGAGAAGCATGTGCTCCAGGCGGAGAGTGGGGGAGAGGGAGCACTGCTTACCAAGCTGTGACCCTCAAACCACTGGGAAGCACAGCCCCAGAGCCCCACCAAGGCACTGCTGAGTTTGAGCTCTCTCCTCTCTCACCACCCTTCCTAAGACAAGGAGAGGGGTTTGCCCTGGTTGCCCCACTCCTCTGCCCCGGGCTGGTTTTTGTTCTCTTCCTACCACACTAACTTCACAGATTTTTTCCCTTTGTGTTTCTCAGAGGAAACATCCCCTGCCCCTTCCATGCCAGGGCCCTGCTCGGCTCCCTTTTCACGCTGGCTCAGGCCTGGTCTACACCCAAAAGTCAGGGTGACCTAGTGTTGCTCAGGGGCGTGAAAAATTCAACCCTGACCACTGTAGTTAAGCCAACCTAAGCCCCGGTGTAGACAGTGCTAGACTGACTGAATAATTCTGTCATTGACCTGGCTGCCCCCTCTCGATGGGTGGGTTTGCTCCGGCCACGGAAAAGTCCCGTCTGTCGATGGAGGGAGAGTCCGCGCCCCAGCAGCATAGCCATGGCAACACTGGTAGTGAAGAGATAGTGTCTCTCTATGTTCTTCCTTCCTGGGCTTTAGGCACAAGGAATCCTGGGCCCAACTGTTGACAAGGCGACTGGTACCCTCTTGTACAATGTGGCTTCCCGGCTTAAGGACCAAAAGCGTCTTCGTTTCCTTGTGGGCTGCATCACCAGCAAGAAGATCGTCACAGACTTGCAGCTCAGTGGTATGATACGGGAGGCGGGCAGCTAGATCTGCTCCCCTTCTTTCCCATGTACAGCGTGGGCTCTGCTGACCCAGCCTTGGCCTGAGATCTAGCAGCTCAGCCTGGTTTGAATTCCCTGCTCCCTCTCCCGGCCAGGCTGCAGCCTGCTCTGTGCGTGCAACGTGCTAACCCAGCTCCCTTTGCTGCGGCTGTGCCTCACCCCCTTGTGCCTACAGTTCAGTCTGGGGGGTAATTCCCCGTGTAAATCGGACATTTCAACCCCTGCCCGTTCTCTCCCGAGCCTCTGGCTTTCCCTACCTCAGCTGCCCGAGTGGTCTATCCCACAGCTTAGCCTGGTCACTCCAGGCACAGGCGTCGGGGGTCAGCGCCGGCTCTGCCCGCCCCCGGCAGTCAGCCCCCGAGGCGGCTTCCTTTCGGTGCTGCTTGTCTGCGCCTGCGTTAACAAGGAGGAGCGTTTCCTCTGGAATGGTCTCCCCGGGGAAGGGAGGGGAGCACCCGGCCCGTAGGTCCTTTAAACAGGGCTGGACAAAGACCTGAGACACATGCTGCAAGGAGCATCCTGCCCTGGCCTCTGGGTGGGAATAAGGAGCCCCAACAAGTCTTGCCCTGGATCCCAACCTGTGCAGCGGGCTGGGTGAGCTGCTTGCTGCAGGGTTCAGATGAGGGTGGGAGTGCAGGGCCCATATTCTGGTGGCGCTGGCCCCAGCGTGGATAGCTGGGCATGCAGTCCCCCTGGACCAACGCATCCCGTGTCTCAGCTGAGCAAGCGCGCTGCGGTGAGCCTGCAGAGCAGACCCCGGGACCCAGCGGCACATGGGGGGGGGCACTTTGTGAGCTTGGCACAGGCATGAGCCCCCGTAGAGTTCAGGAACTGGCCTGGATTTGTACCAGGATCAGATCTGGAGGGAATGTGTCAAGTCCAAGGCAGCAGATGGGGAATCTGATACCTGGGGGATGGAGCAGGAGCCAGTTGGCCGATGTCCTGCCTTGCCTTCTGCTTTGCCTGGTCCGGGCTTGTACTGTGAGAGTGGGGCCAGCGGCTGCTGCCTGGGTGCAGCCACGTGTCTGTGAGACCCTTGTGGACAAGCAGGGAGCCCCGTGGGGTCTCCTGGCTTCTGGAGCCTGGGTGAAGCAGCCCACGGCGCTGTGTGGAAATACGCCCGCCTGAGCTGCCTGTTCACCTCCCCAGCTGCCCTGGAGTACGTGCGGAGCCACCCGCTGGACCCCATTGACACGGCAGACTTTGAGCATGAGTGTGGCGTGGGGGTGGTCGTGACCCCAGAGCAGATAGAGGAGGCCGTGAGTACAAGGACCAGGTGTGGGGTGGGAGCGAGCCGATGGGACTCCCTGCGCAGAGCTGGGGAAGGGCAGCCCATGGTTTGGGGTGCCAGGAGGCCGTGTTAATGGCACCACAGGCAGCATGTCCTCAGCGGGGTGCAGCCCTGGGGGGCTGTGGCTGGTGTCCCTGCTCCTAGCGGCAGTGGTGGGGGTGTGGCTGGCAGGAGGCCGTTCCCGTTAGCGCGCTGCTCTCGGGGGCCTGGGAGAGAACGCTCCTGTTTCAGGACTCGCCGCTGGTCCTCCCTTGCGCCTGAGGCTGACGCCAGCCTGAGACCAGAGGTGCCCGCTGTACTTGCAGGGCTGCTGGGGCTGTGTGCCAGTGAGAGTGGATGGCTGGGGGGCCGGGTGAGGCAGTCCTGGGCACAGAGCAGATAGTGCCCATTGCTGTGCATGTCAGAGCCCCGCCAGTGAGGATGGGGCCAGCTCTGCGGACGGGCCCAGGCTGGCCTAGAGCCCTTCCTGCCTGGGCCTCTCCCCAGAGGAGATGAGGGGCCCTCGCTGCGGTGGAAGCTCCTTGCCGGCGTGGCCGTACCGGTAGCTCCCTCGGGTGTCTGAGCCCAGCCCGTCTGGCCCGTGTGGTGGCCCTGCTCTGTCCGCGCCGGTGCCAGTCCCCCTCTCCCGTCGCCGAGAGGAGTTCTTCAGGGCACTGGTTACGCGTGAGTCTCTGCCCTGCAGCCCGTGCTCCCGCTCGCTCCCGCCCGGCTCACCACTTGCATTCTCCTGCTCGCTCTAGGTGGAGGCGGCCATTAACAAGCACCGAGCCGAGCTGCTATCGGAGCGGTACCGCTTTAACATGGGGTTGCTGATGGGTGAGTCTGCAGCTCAGGCAGGCCGGGGGGCTGGGTCTCTGGGGGCGGGCGGGACTGTGTGCAGTTCTCCATGGCATAGATCAAGAGGTACCACCCCCCCCCACGTGTCCCTTGGCTCTGTTCCCTCCCCCCAGCCTGGGCTCACTCCTTGTGCTTCTAACAGACCAGGTGCAGCATCCGCAGGGAGCTGTGCGAAAACATCCCTGCCATGGCTAACCTCTGCCCAGCCGCCCTGGGGGCAGCGGCCCTGGGAGCCCCAGTGTCGTACGTGTCGGTGCTCTGCAGCCGTGTGGGCAATGTGGCAGTTAAAGGCCCGGCAGCCTGTTGTCTCAGGGCTGCTGGCACTTGGGGGCTGCACCAGCTCCCCGACTGTAGGCCCATTGTGCAGCCGGGGCCCTGCTGCGCCCGGTGGCTTCGGGGCATTGTCCAGATTGGCAGCAGAGAGGCTGCTGGAACCTGCCAGCGGCTGGTGGCCTGAGTGAGGCTGCGGCCCTGACTCGAGGCGGAGGTGCCGTTGCCTGTCCCGGGGAATCCCTGAGCTGGACCTGCCCAGCCTGTCTCTTGCCTACACCCGTCCCTTTGTGCTCACTTGCAGGCGAGGCGCGCGGCAGGCTGAGGTGGGCAGATGGCAAGAGCATTAAGAACGAAGTGGATCTGCAGGTAGGTGGGGCTGGGCCGGGCTGCCTTTGAGCCCAGTGGGCGATGGGGCCTGGCTTCTGAAGGCAGCACTGGCCCCAACGAGCCCTGCGCCTGGCTCCTGGCCCACGCGGGAAGTGCTGGGCGCAGGCCCGTGGCCCAGGCAGGGCAGTGGAGGGATGGTCCCGCTGGCACTGTCGAGGACAGGGACCACGGAGATCCTGGCTGGGCGCCAGCCCGAGTTTGGTCATGGGGGGCTGCTGGTGGGGGAGGGAGCTGCACCCAGACTCCTTGCCCCCCGTGCACCCCTGTTCAGGCCCCACTCCCCTCTCCTGCAGGTGCTGCACTTGCTGGGCCCAAAGACAGAAACTGACCTGGAAAAGAAAGCAAAGGTACCGTGTGAGCAGGAGGGGCGCCCTGAGCCTGGCTAGCCGGGGGGTGTGCCCCGGGTGATGGGGGGAGGGGCTGGGCGGTTGGCGGTGCCCCGGGTGATGGGGGGAGGGGCTGGGCGGTTGGCGGTGCCCCGGGTGATGGGGGAAGGGGCTGGGCGGTTGGCGGTGCCCCGGGTGATGGGGGGAGGGATCGGGCGGTTGGCGGTGCCCCAGGCGATGGGGGGAGGGGCCAGGCGGTTGGCGGTGCCCTGGGCGATGGGGGGCACGTATGAGGTCACTGGGGGTGAAGGGGGCTGGAGCCCTTCCCCAGCGCGGCTCAGGGGCCCAGGGACTGTGCCAGGCAGAGCCTTTCAGCACTGAAGGCTGCTCCCCTTCTGTCCTGGCAGGCTGGGAAGGCCAAGCCGGCCGAGGCGGAGAAGCAGCAGAAGGCAGCGGAGGAGAACGGTGAGCTGCTGTGGGGGCCTGGTTGTGCAGGGTCTGGGGGCTCCCCGCATCCTCGTCTGCGCCCTCATGGGTAGCTGCTGAGCTGGGGGCCGGAACCAGCCCGCGGCTGGGCCTGCTGCAGCGGGGCTGGGGAAGGTGCCGCCCGGAGAGCCCTGGCCTGGCAGATGCAGCCAGGCAGCAGCCGGGAGAGCTCCCCTTGTCCCCGCCCAGGGGGTCAGGGCTGGGGCCAGCGGGGCGTTCGCTCGCCCTGAGGCTGCTGCGGTGCACCCGACCCATCTCCCACAGCCCCTGAGCAGCTGTCCAGGGCAGGGACCTCGCCAGCCGGGGCTGGGCTCGAGGCAGCCTGGGGAGTCCAGCTGTGGGCTGGGCGGGGCTCAGCTCCGCGGGGTTTGTCCATAGCGCTGGTGGAGCAAGGCCTGGGGCTGCTGCTGCCTGGCCTGCTCCTTCCCTCCCTGCAGCGCTCTCTGGAGCCAGGCAGTGCCCTGCGCTGAGCACTGCTTGGGTGCCCCCTCCCGCCCTGGGGCTGCCCACGGCACGGCCCCGACTGGGTTTCTGTAGGTGACGATGGTGCCCTGATCTCGGGGCCAGCAGTGCCTGCGCTCAGGGCAGGGCCGCTCATCTGTGGCTGCAGCATGCTGCGATCCGGATGCCAGGGTCCTGGCAGGGGCACGAGTCCAGCGTCTGCAGTGCGTCCTGTCCCTGGAAAACGCTGTTCACCAGTCGGGATCTGCGCGTGCCAGTGTATTAGCTGGGGGGGGACTGCGAGGACAGGGCCATCTAGTGCCTGGCCACACTGGTCGGTCCTGGGGAACTGCATTTCAGTGTGCCCTCCCTGCCCCCGGGCCTGGGGCAGCTCCTCCTGGGTTGTGGGGCTGCCCCCCACCTACCACTACCCCCCCCACCCCCCCAGGCCTCAGAAAGCTCCTCCTGAGTCATGGGGCTGCCCCTCGGCCTCAGAGAGCTCTGGGGCTGACTGCCAAGCCAGCCCCTCTCTGGAGCACTAACCGCACACGCAGGGTCCTTTGTGGGTTTAGGCTCATGTGCCTGCCCCACCCCTGGAGCTGGGAGCTGCCATGGTCAGTGGCCTTCTGTCACGGAGTCCCCAGGCGATGCTCTGGAACTGCTCCCCACAAAGCCAGTCAGGACTCTGGGGAGCCTCCTCTCCCTCGGAGCAGACTGTCTTCAGGGCAAGAAGCTCACACAGCTTCACCTCCTGGGTCTGACCTTGGCGCATTCAGCATCCCCTGCCCCGACCGTGCGCTTCCCACAGCGAGTCCGCCCAGGCGGGGTCCTAGGGAAGCCAGGGGGTCCTGCCCCCCAACTCCGCAGTCAGACGTGGCTCTTGGCAAGCCAGTAACACAGAGGTTTATTAGATGATAGGAACATGGTCTAAAACAGAGCTTGTAGGTCCAGCGAACCGGACCCCTCAGCCAGGTCCATTCTGGGGCCCAGCGAGCCAGACACCCCCGTCTGCCCTCACTTCCCGTCCCCAGCCAGCTCCAAACTGAAACCCCTCCAGCCCCTCCTTTCTGGCTTTTGTCTCTTTCCCCGGTCAGGAGGTCACCTGATCTCTTTGTTCACCTTTAGCTATTCCCTTGCAGGGAGGCAGGGCCCTGGCCATTTGTTACTAGAAGACAGATTGTCAGCCATTTATGCACACCTGAGACTTAAGAAATGCATAGGGGAAACTGAGGCACCCACACAGTGGTCAGAGGAAACATTAAGAACAGTCCCACTTCGTCACACCTTCGTCCTGGCATATCAGTCTCCCTGCCTTCAGCTGGGAGCTGGCGTCCTGGGCTGGGCCCTGATTCTTGCTGCTTAGCGCCCCCATCCTCTGGTTTTGCCTGCTCCTGCTGTCGATGGGCAGGAGGCAGAGGGGACCAAGGCCCCTCCCCTGCTGGCTCCATGGTTCCTGCTGCATGGCTGATGGCGTGCCAGCTCCGTTCCCCTCTTCTGGGCGGGTCTTGGCTCTCGGGAAGGGGAGAACGTGGCTGGAGTTCCCAGGCTGGGAACAAGCCTGGGCTGTCAGGGCAGTGCTGCTGGGCCGGCGCCCAAGGGGAAGGGCCTTAGGCTGGGCGGCACTGGAGGTCTGTGAGCGAGGGGCTGGGTCCCTGGGGCAGAGGCTAACATACCTCGCCCCCCTGTTCCCACAGGTGAAGTGACCCTGGAGACAAAGTCGCTGATGGAGCAGCTGAGGGGAGAAGCCCTCAAATTCCACAAGCCAGGTGAGTGCGGCCTGCCTGCTCTGGGCTCCTGGGGCCTCGGCCTGGCTCGGCCCAGCGCTGCTCTCGGCTGGCTCTGGAGCCGCTGCTCAGAGACTCGGGACGGGAGGGTCCGTCCCACGCTGGCTGGGCAAGGTCGGTCCTGCCCCCGGTGTTCTGGAGCCTGTGCCGGGGGCGCCCTATCTGAGCCTGGCTTCCCTGGGGGCTGGGCGGGGCACTGGAGCCTCCCGCCCCAGCCTGGCTCCAGGGCCCCAGGTGGGCAGCCCAGCTATGGAGCCCTAGGGCGGTGGCTGGAGCAGGCCCTGTGCTGCTGCTGAGGCGGGGTCCATTAGCGGAGGGGCGTGGTGTGGAGTCCCATGCGTCCCTCCCGGCCAGGGGCTCGTGCCCAGCGCCAGGGGCGGGGGCCTCCCCTCTCGCTGCCTGGGGCACTGCGCCCCAGCCCTCCCCCTCCCCGGGCTCACAGCTCCCTGCTCCCCCAGGTGAGAACTACAAGACAGAAGGCTACGTGATCACGCCCCACACCATGGCCCTGATGAAGCAGCACCTGGAGATCACCGGCGGGCAGGTGGGTCAGGCTCTCCTCCCAGCTCCTCTGCAGTGCCTGGGGCTTGCTGCTCCTCTCACTCGTTAACCACAGTTCTGAGTGCTCTCCATCTACTCATTAACCCTCGCAATGGGCCTCAGAGGCCATTAGGCCACATGGGGAAACTGAGGCACGGGTGGGAGCTGTTTGGTGGCAGGGTCAGCAGAAGAGCTGGGGATAGAACCCAGGGACGGGACAGACCCTCCCCTGCCTGGTTTCTGGAGGAAGGGGCATCAGACACCACAGAGACCCGAGTGGGGCTGGGCACAGTTTGGAGGGGGAGAGCCCAGGGCACCGCCCTGCCCTGGCACTGCTGGGAGCTGGTTTCTTTCTGTTTCTAGGCCCTTCTCACTCCATCACAAGAGCCCACTGGCCCCAAGAGCTGGAGGCCGCCTGGCCTGTGGGCCAAGTCCCATTGGGGTGGGGTGGGGGTGCCCGCGAGGGGCATGAGGCTGGCGCCTTTTCACCTTGCATGGCCTGACCCAGGGTCGGTAACTCTCCGGACGCTGGGCTAATGGGGCTGGGAACTCCTCTGCCCTCAGGTGCGGACGCGGTTCCCTCCGGAGCCCAACGGGATCCTGCACATCGGCCACGCTAAAGCCATCAACTTCAACTTCGGCTATGCCAAGGTGAGCCCCCCCAGAGCCAGCCCCACCCCCCCCCCCCCCCCCCCCGCCTCCGCCAAGGGGAGCCCCCCCCCAGAGCCAGCCACACCCCCCGGGGCCCCTCGGCTATGCCAAGGTGAGCTCCCCCCCGAGCCAGCTACACCCTCCAGCCCCGTCAGCACCTGGATCTGTCCTGCCCCACTGCCAGGTCCAGGCCCCTGGCCTGTTCTGGCCCTGTCCTCTCCCCAGTGTGGTGGGCGTGGGGGCTGGTGGGGGTGGGCGGGGCTGCGGGTACAGGGG